CCTCTCTTTTCAACATCTCTCTCTCTCTCTCTCTCTCTCTCTCTCTCTCTCTCTCTCTCTCTCTCTCTCCGACATTCTCCCTAAAGGTTCAAAAGTGGGTGGGGATGAGTGGTAAAATAGACACATTGCTCGTCGTTGGTAGTGTACTTGTAGTTGGAGAACATGTCGTCTGTACGTCGAAAAAACAAACAGGAACGACTTGTACACTTTCTGTACATGTACGTTCAGATGTTTTGTACATAACGATTGATAATGTACGTACATGAGAGGTAGCGGTTTCAGCATCCAACTTTTATGTTTTAACATAGACACGTCGCTACCTTGGAATTACAAAGTTCAATCTCCTCAGTACCTAGTTTTGAGAAATTTAATGTACAAAATTTTGAGTTTCGCTACAAGGCAAACTTTTCCGAATATCTTGATAACGACTCCGAATAATCTTTCTGATTTGATAGAGTAGATACATGTACCTAGAACATTTGGCTTCTGCTATCATGGTCTTTAGTAACACAAAACAGCCAAAAATGTCAGATAGAAAATTGCAATTTTAAGGCAGTGATAATATTGTGGCTTTTCTCGAAGATGCAATGCCTCCAACTGGGGTTTCCAGTTTCAATTTGGTGTCATCAAAAGTCTTGATCCCGAGACCGAGACATGGTCAACCCCAACATACGGCTGTAAATGCTGGGAAATTACTAAAGGTTACAACCACCGAAAAGCGATGGGTCAGTTTTGTCACCCATTCACCCTTTTTGCAACCTTTTAGTTTTAATTAGAATTTCACGGCACTTGTAACACAAAATAGGTCATAATATTTATAATAAAGTGCCCAAGATTGGAGATGCTACAAGAGAATAACCAGTGGCGTCGCGTGAGTTGCAGAAATGGTGGTGCATAATTGGAAAGTGAGCAAATGGGCTTATAGTAGCTAGATCTACTATTAAGATTTCTAGAGAAAGTCAGTTAGAATCTACAGAATATTCCGTAATCTACATCTATCGATATCTACAACTGTCTCTAGATGAAACCTCATAAAAGCTGCAATAAAGTAAAACAATACTAACAACTCACTGTGCTCACAATCTGAGAAGATTTAAAGATTTCTAATTAATTCGTGCAGCACCAGGACTTGCTACACAATAGAGGGAGACAATAGTTTCAAAACCCATTTTCTTCACTGAGTTACCGTAGACTCTACTAGTGTTGTAGAAACTTGGATCAAATTTTTAGCTTGCACCAAATTGGGGCTGCGAAGAGCAGTTTCAAGCACATTTCTTCTTGTGCGGGAAGAACGATGCCTAGATTTCTCTACAGTGACAAAAATAACTTTGGTGCAAAGATTTTGTTTGCACCTAGCAGACGCTACCGCAAGCGGTGCGACTAGCATAAACCTCCTCGCTGTCTGTCTCTTCACTGGAGCAGCCAGCAATTGACCGATCGCATGGATGTACATTTTAGTGGGCTAGGCCTAATGTAGATCTAGAGCACTGACTCGTTTAGAACTATTAGAAAAATGGATTGGGG